GTGTGGACAGGGGCCCCGCGGATCTGAACGCGGCTGAGCTGACAGAAACGTTAGTGAAAGCATGTGACATGACCATGCCGAGGAAACTGGAGCCAAATAACAGACGGCGTCCAGCTTATTGGTGCAACGAGGCACTTAGCACCCTTCGCGCTAGTTGTCTCAGAGCCAGAAGACGTGTTCAGAGAGCAAGAACTGAAGCAGACAGAAAGGAACGAAGAGGAGTGTTTCGAGCGGCCAGGGCCGCACTTAAACAAGAGATAAACCAGAGCAAGTCAAACTGCTTTAAGGAGCTGTGTAGAGATGCTGATGCCAACTCCTGGGGCGACGCATACCGAGTCGTGATGGCGAAGATCAGAGGTCCAACGATGTCCACTGAAATGTGCCCAGAGAAGCTGAAAGTCATCGTGGAAGAACTATTCCCGAAGCACGACCCAGTGACCTGGCCACTTACACCGTACGGAGAGGGAGAGTGAGATAACGTCGAAGTCATGAACGAGGAACTCATAGCAGTGGCAAAAGGATTGGATGTGAAGAAAGCTCCCATTACCTCTCACCCCAGCAGGCCTGGGTTCAATCCCAGTCGGCGCCGCCGGGATGTTCTGAGGCATAACATCTCTGATCATGCCTTCCTTCGGAAGGGAAGTAAAGCCGTTGGTCCCCGGTTCATGAGTTGATGGGTCGATAGGTAGGGTCCAGGTGTGGGAGCTGCCTCTCTGGCGTCGGTAGCATTGGTGCTCAGCACGGAAAACAAGATCGACGGAAAACAAATCAAAGGAAAAAAAAAAAAAAGAAAGCTCCCGGTCTGGATGGAATTCCCAACGTGGCGTTGAAAGCGGCAATCCAGGCGTCCTCGGTCATGTTCAGGATGGTGCTGCAGAAATACCTGGACGAGGTTCACTTCCCTGACATATGGAAGATACAGAAGCTAGTGTAGGCCTATATGCCTGCTGGATACACTCGGAAAACACTTGGACAGGCTCATCCTCAACAGACTGATGAAATGCACGGAGAGTGAGCATGGATTGTCGGAGAGGCAGTTCTGATTCCGGAAAGGGAGATCAGCGGTGGATGCAATTCGGACAGTGGTCGAGAGAGCCGAGAAAGTGTCCAAACGGAAGTGGAGAGGATATCGGTATTTGGATGTGATAACGATAGACGTGAAGTGCCTGCTGGGAGGCTATCGCCGAAGCGCTACACAGAATGAGGGTTCCTGACTACCTGTGCTGGATTTTAAGGAGTTGCTTCCAGAACCGGATGCTGGTCTACGAGACAGACATAGGACAGATATCAGTTAGGATCACGGCGGGAGTTCCACAAGGCTCCATCCTTGGTCCAACGCTGTGCAACGAGATGTACAACGGCGTGCTGACGCTCAAGCTGTTCAAAGGAGTTGAGATCGTTGGCTTTGCGGACGACGTCATCTTAATGGTAACAGGTGAGACGCTGGAAGAGGCGGAAATGTTGACGACCGAGGCGATCGATACGATTGGAAGCTGGATGCAAGGAGCGAAGCTGTATATAGCCCACAAAAAACGGAAGTTCAATTGGTCAATAATTGCTAAGCGGTGCAGCGGTCAGAAATCGACCGGCTAACCTTCAACAGCTACGTCGACTACGCCTGCGAGAAGGCAGTAAAGGCTATCAACGTAGTAGCTAGAATCATGAGGCGTCTTCTGGCTAGTGTATCAATGTCTATTCTGAGGTACGGAGGTCCAGCTTTGGTTGCAGCACTGGAAACCAAGCGGAATCAAGCAAAGTTGAACAGAACGATCAGGCTCATGACAAGCGAGTAATGAGCGCATACAGAATCATCTCGTCCACTGAATGATTCCTATCGGCATCGAACAGCGAGTGTTAGAAGCGGAAGGAAACCAAAATAACACGGGAAATTGTAATAGCGGAGCCGATGGCCTAATGACAGCAGGAATGAGACTCGAAGGAGAACGGTAGATGGACTCATCGGTTAATAAACATTGTTTCAACCTGGGTGAACAGAACGCATGGAGAGGTAAACTTCCACCTGCCGCAATTCTTACCCTGTCACGGTTTCCTCATGAAGTTTTTCTTTAACTAAATCTCTCACGTGACACATCGAATCATATGGGAATTCAGAAATAATATGGTTGGTGGGCAAAGAAAAGAGTTTCTGGAGAATATTAAGAGAGATTTCTGATGTTCTCCCAGTTTAACTGAGGTTCTCGAAATTTTCTTAAGTTCTCAGAACTCCAGAAGCTCCGCAATGTTTCAGATGTTCATAATTTGAAAATCTCGGAACTGTCTTCAATTACGTAACTTACATAAGGATCTCTAAAGTTTAGAAAATTTATTTGGATTTTGGATGTTCTTGAAGTTCTTTGGACTTCTCTGAAGCTTTATTTATTTCTTTAAAAACTCCAACAATTTTCCTTAAGATCATGGAACTGTCCTGATGTTCTTTGGTCTTGCCGGAGGTTTCTGTAATTTTCGAAAGTTTGATACTCACGGATCTTGCTTAAAATCATTAAACTTCTCTAAATTTCGGTAAATCTATCATAAGTTTACTCAGTGTTCCTAATGTTCATGCATCTTTCCTGAAGTTCCCGAATTTTTTCGGGAATTCTCAGAACATCCTGAAGTAGTCAGACCTATCCTGAAAAATGTCTGCAATTTCTCCGAACTTAACAGAATTTATCTGAGGTTCTTTGATCTTCCCTAATGTTCTCGGAACTTGTCTGTAGTCCTTGAGATTCTTCAGAAGCTTTTGGAACTATACTTCCTTGGAGTTCTCTGAACTTCTGTGAAATTCCTGAAATATTCCTAAAGTTTTCTACGCGTCTTTGAAGTTCTCTGGACTTCCTATGGAAGCTTCTCAAAATTTATTTCTATTTTTGTGAAATTGCTGAAACTGCAATGATCTTACCTGAAGTTCCGGCAATATTTGCCTGCCGTGAAATTGAGGAAACATACCTTAAAATGTCTCTGCATTCACCTGATGATGATTGAACTTCTCTGGATTTTTTTTTGCAAATTTTCCGAAGTTCCTGGAGTTCTATGGGCTTCTGTATAGTTTCAGAAGATAAAATTCACTGTTGTTATATGTCTGTTTTTTATTTATTTGATAAGACTCAATCAAATTTACTTTACAGAGCCGAGGATTCTTGTTCACTATACAAAACATCGTAAAACTATAGTCACAAGGTACAACAGAATAAACAATTAAAATCTTCTGCATTGTCCTGATGATCATTGATCTTCTCTGGGGATTTTTGCAAATACTTCGAAGCTCTTGGAACTTTCTTATACTTCTGGAAGGTTCTCGTTAATTTCCTTAAGGTTAAACAAATAATAAATGCACTTTTAAGATTTCCTGACGAGCTCTCGAATTTTTTCAAAGCTCATGAATCTGCACTTTGCTAATTTTTAAAATCTCCGAAAATCTTGACATTCCTGTCGTTTTCGAACCCTGAAGTTATTGGATATGCCCTTAAGCTCAATAAACTTTCTTATTGTTCTCTAGAGTTCCCTGATTTTCTAAGAACTTTTTAAAAGTTGCCGCCTATTTAATAAAGTTTTAGAAACCTTCACGGAACATCTTATAAAATCTCTCAAACAATTTAGCAGGCTTAGTTGCAGCAAAAATTGTTGATTGGGTTCTAAGACCTTCCCTGAAATTATCGATGCTTCCTAGAAATTTCTTAAATTGTCAAGAAGTTCTTGGATCTTCCTTAATGATCCGGATTTTTTTATGATATTAAAGGAGCTTGCCGAATGACTGACATTACCTGAAATTTTAGGAACATTTCTGATTTTTTTAAATTTCCCATCCTTCCTGAAGACTTCATGATAGTGTTTGAAATTCTCCTGAAATTATTGGAAGTGCTCTGATGTTTCTTGATCTTGCTCGAAGTTCTCCGAACATTCCTGAAGATAAAAAACTGCTTAAAATCTCTAAATATCTTTGAAGTTGTTTGGAAATTTTCCGTAGAAGCTTTTGCTATTTTTATGAAGTTTTGGAACTTCCCATAAAATGTTTCCGAAGTGTTTCCGATGGTCATCGAACTTCCGTGAAGATTCCGCAAATTTAGATTTTAGAACAATAGTCCAAAAAAATAATTAATACTTTCCGGTAAAAATCGTTGCAATCCTAAATTGCAACGATTAATTCCCTTTAAATTTAGATAAGATTTAGTTTTAGTTTTTAGTTTTAATATTTTTTTTTGTTTATAAATTTATTTGATAAGGCTCAATTGAATTAACTTAACAGAGCCGAGGATTCCTGTTCACTATGCAATACATCTTAAAACTATAGTGAAAAGGTACAACACAATAAACACTTTATCTTCCGCTATCCAATAAGCCTCCTCCATCAGAACGGGAGGCGCTTTCAGTGGTTTCATTGTATGGCAGTATAGCCAACCCCCCGTTTGGCTTCCATTGCAGCAATGGGCGCAAAACGTGGTCAGCACTCACACACTCATCACGAAACGGTTGCTTTCCAAAGTCGACGACCACATCGACCGAAAGAACTGCTGATGAAGAACAATGAGGAGGACCACACAATGGTTGCTGCCAAGCAAACAGACATTCGCGTGACACAGTGGGCTGCTTCTGTCAACTGCCGAGTGAACATTGATATTTAGTTTTAAGATGAAATTTTTTATACAGAAAACCTGTTTAAAATACTAACTTGCTAAAGCCAAAACCAATGTAAACACACTAAGCTATATATCCTAACAAATAAGGTTGGTAAGTGACTGTAGTAGCAGCAGCACCTAGGATAAAAATGAATGTAAATTTATTTGAATTTGGAACAGAAAGACAGAACTCAAAATGGCAGCACTGTTTGCTGTGACCGATCCTTCGTACACTTTCTGATACCGCATACTGTCGCCGATATCACAATGGATGAGATTGATTCAAACGATGATAACATTAATTAAATTGCTCTTCGTTTAGTTCCTCGCTCGGCCGGATGGAGGTCCAGGGAGATCTTGGGAGATGTTCAGTAGTGCATTGGCACGCATACGGGACGGTTGAAAAATATACCACGAGGCGTGATTTGAACGTACCGACGACGGTGGAAATTTCCCTTCTTCCGAAGCAAGCGAAGTAAGTGAAGCGGCGCCTAGCCTAGGGCAGTGGGTTGAATCGATAAAAGTTTTCCCCGTTTTTCCTCGCTTGAGCTTGTGTGTGTGCGAGCGGTTTGCATCCTTTGTTGGTGGGGAATTTCCCGAAGTAGCTGAATTCTGCAATGTGAATGGAAAACATCTGATTCACAGTGTCGGTGGTCAGCAAATGTCTCAATCTCAAATGCCTTTAGTTTGCCGACTAAGCGTCACCAGGGAAGACTTGTGAATCGGCATTTGCTGCATTGCGGCTGGAGGAAATAATTCCGGTGGATGTTGTTCATTAGCATCAGAATTAACTAGTGCAGTGAAGAATATCGTTGTGAACAGTGGAGATTTGCAAAGAGGTTAGCAGAATGGGCGTCAACGATAGTGATAACGATGAGATTGTATCGTCCACATCGAAGATGGACCTGCAGATGCTGCAGAAAATTTTCGTCAAGTTCGAGCCGGATCTGATTATTGATTCATATGAAGTAAGTGCCATGAGGAGGCGTTATTGATTTTTATCTGCCGGAGAAGTTAGGGATGATGATGAACAGAGCTGATGATATAAGTTTTTAGAAGATGCTTGATAATTACTAAAGTGCAACTAACAAGGAGCTGCGATCTTTATGAATCAGAATATTGTTGAAATTCAAAATAATTGAACATTATAATTCTGAGCTAAATGCACGTGTATGTGTATAATTAAAGCAATGAATGATGTATATAAGTATGTACATATAGGTACATTTAAATCATCTTCTATGATTGAACGGACTGCGGGTACAATTTCACATTATTTCTCTGTTTTTGGTTTAGGCTCAAGGTCTTATGACAAATTGTTTAAATGTAAAAGTAAACAACTGTTTCATGCTTAAATGAGCTTGCCTATTTTTTAAATGGTGTTTTACTTATAAATTAAATATAACCAAATATACACTAGTTTTTCATGACATAACTCGTGTTGCCCATTTAGTAGTCTTTTGTAACGAAATGTTGCAGTAAACTGCGATAACACTCTTTTTGATATCATATGATATAAATGGCCGGAATTGTACAGAAAGCCCAGGATCACATTTTCTGGGTCTTCCCCTTTCTGACTGATTTCAAAGTTATTATGAAAAGAGTTCTATAGAATAAAGGGTGTATTCATTAGAATTGCACACACATAAACAGCTGTAACTTTTCAACTAACTATTATACTAAATGACTTGAAATTTTCATTGAAGAATGTTTAGTTCGTAACGTACATATTTGATTTTTATGAGGATCTGAGCGGTGGTGTTTCTCGAGCAATGGTCATGAGATCAACATGCTGCCTAAAAAATTTGGTACAGTCCCATATTTGAAATCAGCGGTTTTGCAAGGAAAATATTTCATAATTGTTGCTGTTGAATCTTGAAACCAAACCATTTTTTTTTGCATACTATTATAATTAAAAATGTTGTGGAATTAGTCAGAAATTTCACTTCAAACATTTGGCTCATTTTGTCTTAACAAATAAATACTTTTCTAAACAAACTAAAACTCAATCATTTTACCCCAAATAAAAATAGTTTTTCTCTGTCACACGTGAATAAATTGAACAATGAGTGGAAAGATAAGTAAAAGTAAGCTAAATGTAGTTTTTTGCCACTGCACCAAATTTCTAAGACACCATTTTGTTTTCTTGTTCTAAACTTAAAGCTCATATTTGAACCATGACATATTTCACTCTCTAAAGCATCATCCTTTCAAATTTCAAGTAAGCGTCATTTTCCAAGAATACACTCTTTATAAGTGAATTACAACTCGCTAAGGAGAACTTGAAGTGAATTTTAAGGTGAGTTCTGTGGGAATTCTGATGAAAATTAATACGTACTTTTGAGAATAATTTCAAAGGAATATTGAAGAGCTTACCAAATGAATTTACAAGTGAGGTTTATGAAAATTTCGAGAAGAATTCTAAGTGAATATAATTCCGAGGCTGACTCTAAAAGATTCCTGAATAGAGACTTCGAAACGAAGTGAATATTGGTTTTTTTACATACAAATTCTAGCGATGATTTCAAGATAATTCTTAGAAAACTTTCAAGGTAATTCCGATGATAATTTCAAGGGGATTCAAATATATTTATAGTTATTTTTGGGAGAATTCCAAATTGCTCTAATCAGAATTCCATGGCATTTAAGTGTAATGTAAATAACTATAAGAAAATGGAAATCTTAAAAAATTAAATAAAAGAGGTGATTCTTAGGAAACTTACATAGGAAATATGAAATCCTATCAGGACTTCTAAGAGGATTACCAAGGTTATTCAGACATACATAAATTTTCATCATACATAATAGGTAACACAAATCCAAGATCAAGGATGAATTTTTTTAATACAACAGAGACTTCGAATGGTTTTGAGATTTTCTTTTCTCAATTTCGAAACCAGTTTCTAGTTAGTAAATGTGCTGTTTCATAATACTGGTTTACCAATTTTGTTTTAAACAATGTGTGCCCTTTGGTGTTTGTCAAAATTGATTCATGATCGGTCAGAAATGAGTCAAATTTAAGTAAAAATTCACCAAATGGATCACATCCTTACCGTTAGCCTCTTATTTTGATGCTCAATTACTAAATCCAACACATATGTACATTAATGTGGGACACCACTTATTTGATTGCACTCTAAGCGAATGTTTTACAGACATGATAATCACTCTAAATTTAGCAATCTTGTGTGCGATTGTTAAAAATAGCTTGGAAGACTTAACAGACGCTAAGGCACGGTACACACATTACGTAACGCAAAAAATCTGGATTTTGAACCCCTTTCGCCCTATGCGTTAGCGTTGTTACGGTATACTTCGTAGATTGGATACTAGTGACACTCACGTCTCTTTTGAAATTCTCAGTCAGACTGCTTTCAGGAAGAATGCTGGAGAGCATTAATTCCAATCTTAACAAGAATACCAAAAGCATGACTGTCGCTATTTCCGGCCACGCCCATCTTGTAACCCTCGTCAAGGGTTACCACCCTTTTAACGTGTTTTCCATGAGCGTGTGTCTTGTCTGTCATGATTTGTTTTTATTTTGGTCGCACGCTCATTAAACATACTCACCAATGTTGTTTTAATACATATTTTAATCTTTGTTTGTGTCTTTAATTTTATTCAAATGTAGTTATGTTAGGTGTTCTAGAATGTAGGGAAAAAATTATCGTTTTAAATTCTTTCGCGTTTGTAATGAAGTTAGGTTTTATTTCTTCTCTCGCTGCAAAATAAGGCAAAAGCATAAATCAGCATAACAGTCGAACGCAGTTGCAGGAGAATGATGGCGGTTTTGTTATTGTCCGTGATTGTGAGTACAAGGAGAGAAGTTACGAACGCGTTTTCTGCCCCGTCGATATTATTCGCCCGGAAAAAATGAGTTTTGTGCCATTTTCGCGGCGCGCAATTGCTGGAGGAATAATACCCAGCATTGCCGGGAGTGTATCAGTGTGGTTAGGCGGATCGAAGCCAACCGTGGTTCTGTAACTGAGGTACATAAACCAAAGTGTGGATCGCCATTAAGGGGAAGCTAATCACGAAGGATTTGTTCGCTTCCCCGGTTAATCATCAAGGATCCGGATCACACTTGCCGTCCTCGCTGTGGTGGCTTATAGAGCCAGTCTCGCCACCACAGGGCTTATAGAGCCAGTCTCGCCACCACAGCTAACAGACAAGGAAGGACGAAGCAGGTCGAACCGAAGGAGCGTTCACCTGGGCATAAATACTGCGGTGTCTGCCGGGATTGTCTACGGCGAGTACACGAAACGAAAATCAATTATTATATTCATGTGTTTCACTTATACATTTTTGCCAAAACATCAGCCTTAACATTCCATAAGACAAACCACATATGTCCTATAAGAATGCATAAAAGGTATGTGTGACCGCTTATACATTTCATTTGACACATCATCTTCATTAAATTTTTGCAAGGCGTTTGCTTATTAGTTGACTTATACATTTTATGAATAATCAGTAATAGAAATTTGCCAAAAGGTATAAGGAGATTTCTATCCGTGTGATTCGTCACCATCGTCGTCGGGGGGGTTCCAAAAAAGGAGCCTCGCTCATCCACCCGCTAATCGCTAAGGACCACTGCTAGGCAGCCAAACAGTGAAGAAGGAGACGCTTGGCTCAGACCTGGAGCTGACGTGAACAACCGTCGTCGTCGAAGGGCCCCACCGAACAGCAGCAGAAACGAACGTCTTTGGGGGAAGTACCCTTGCTCGAGGCCGTCCCGTCGGGGTAAATCGGGCCAGCTATAGGCTGGCAGGTAAGCCAAAACTTACAATCTTTACCGTAATTAGGGACAGGGAAGGAGATTTTTATATAGTACTAACTCAACAAGAGGCCACCGACTTAGCGACACCCTCATAAGTACTACGGAGTTATAGAATTGTGTAGGGTATTAGGTCAGGATTCGCCTCAAGCTGACGATACGACCAAAAATGTTTGATTTTTTGAGTAAGCAAAAGCGGCAGCTGCTAAGCAAACCGAGTTCTTAAATTTGATTTCTTAGTACTGTATTGGTGAAATTTATATGAATCAGAATATTACGAAGTATATAAATAAAAAGAAAGGATCTTACTCGAATAGTCCTTGAAGCTTTCTTTTTTCCCCTTGATTTGTTTTCCGTCGATCTTGTTCTCCGTGCTGAGCACCAATGCTACCGACGCCAGGGAGGCAGCTCCCACACCTGGACCCTACCTATCAACCCATCAACTCATGAACCGGGGACCAACGGCTTTCGTTCCTTTCCGAAGGAAGGCGTGATCAGAGATGTTATGCCTCAGAACATCCCGGCGACACCGACTGGGATTGAACCCAGGCCTGCTGGGGTGAGAGGTAATGACGCTTACCACTACACCACCGGCGCCGCTAACTTGAAGTTTTCTAAGGTAGTTAATGTGCCGAAACGTCTCTTTGATCTTGACTAAGGAAAACCGCTACCGCTAGCCGTCGGAACGAGATTTGTATTTGTATTTTGTATTTGTATATTGAACAATTCAACTGACAATTATTGTCTAAATGAATAAAACTTAAACTAAATAGTTACGGTCAATGGTACGGAAAAGGCCAAGTACCCGATGACGAAACACGTCAGCTGATACATTGAAGTCGAACATTTAAAAGAAGTTGTTGAATTGCCGGCTGATTGCTCGAATTGGCTCGTGTTGTGTATAATTTTGGCACCGTGGATTCAAAAACAGAAAGTCGCGTTGACGAAGAGGCCTCTCAGGGGCATACACATTTAGCTGAGCCAGCAGTGTTGGACAGTCAATGTCACCCGTAAGCAGCTTTCCAGCGAACATAGCTTGAGCGACCGTCCGTCTCATCTCTAAAGGTGTATTCAGATCTAAGCGTACATTAGCGGAGCGGAGCAAAATTTGCGTTGGAATGAGAGAGACAACTAGTACTTTTCTCCCTCTCGTACCTTCGCAAAATCTCTCTCCGCGCGTGAAATATCGCT